GTCTGCCACGACTGCTTGAATATCATCTGGGTGCTCGATACAGGATCCAGTGCAGCAATCTCCATCGGTCGGTCGTGTATAGAACAAATACATACCTCCTCTGTAGAGATTGAGCTACAACTTTAGTTATCAATTCAGAACTCGCATTAGAAGTTACTTTCTTTCACGGATGGTACACCTGCCGGATCTTTCTTAACACTATAACAATCTATCTCACGTCTTCAACATAATTAAATTATATGCCGTATCATACATTTATACAACATGGAATGCTGGACGGAGCCGACGAGTCCAAAATTTTCAACCAATGAAAGTTTTTAATTTTTGTGATAATCTTTTCTTAAGTAACTTGACAATGTATCGGCGAATAATGGAACAATAATGGGCAGAAATACTAGATAGCATCACGTTGCTCTTTCGATGTAGTGCTTTAAATTCTATTTAAGATAGCAATAAAAGTAGAAAAGAGTATCAATATTTGGAGAACCGTACCACTGAGTGCAACTGGATAGATCTATCCCCGTGAGCGCTTTACAGGTCCTTACTGCTGTTCTAATCAATACCGATGGGTCCTTTTCAGGATTAGGACCATCCAAAGAAGGACTCCATGGTCCACCAATAGCCATCGTTTCATTTTTACCCCGCAGGCCTACTAGGAAATTTATTAAACGCGTAGGATGTACATAATCGCGATCTGGATCTCTATCCTCGGACACACCACAACACCGTTTATAAATTTCTTCCATGGCAGGCATAGATATCAACATAACCTATAAAATAATATGTATAACTTAATAAAAAGTATTCATTTCAAAAGTTATTTTATCAATAATTTTTACAACTGTAATATAACAAACCTTTGCAGAGAAAAGATAATCAGCATCTGAAGGTTCTAGTACTGCTGAATTTTCGACATAAGGATCAACATCCTTGTGCATGACATGAAAAGAGCATGGTTTATTAAGGGCAAATGGCATATGTGGCGGAAAAGCATCAACCCATCGGAAATTAGTAGAAAAAAAATCGCTAGGAATATACATATTTTGATAACGTCTTCTTATCTCAAGTACATCTGCTTCGGGTCTAAAATAATAAGTAATTAAGTCTTATTGTTTCAAGTATATTACAAGAATGTGGTACATAACAATATGATTTTTAGTAATATCACGTAAAAAATATACTTACAAATCAAGTGCTATTTTTGGTATCTGTACCATGTATCGTGGCACAACTCTGGTACGTCGTCTTGGTCTTGGAGATTTACTTCTCCTAGTCCTCGACGGACTACGTTCCTCTTTTTTTTCACGTTCTCTAATTCTTTCTTCACGACGCCTTTTTCTCTCAATTTCTTCTTCCTCATTTTTCCGTTCGCGTGGAGACCTTTCTCTTACTCTTCCAACTTTGTTTCGGTTACTAGCTGTATTAGCACTTGTTGCACTAGTTGTAAATCTACCAACAATTATATGTCTCTTCAACAAAACTATTATACTACATACTTTGTTACAAAAAGTGTTCACATGACATACCTAAATTTTGTATGTAACCATGATCTGTTATTATTAAGATGTATGTAATCTAACCTAGTATTAATTACCTATTATTAGCATTTTCAGCAGGTGGAGGTACAGCATTATATGTTCCTGAGGTTCGATTCTGTTGAGGTTGTGATTGTTGTTGTTGACGAGTGGCTTGATTATTTTGTTGCGTATTAGTGTTATTATTATTATTTCCCATAGGAAGTACTTGTATTCTAGTGGCACTCCATTTAAATGGCATGGATGGATTATATGATGCTTCCACCAATACTCGATCACCCACAACAGGATTAGATCCTTTAACACACGCACTGTAAGAGTTTAATGTCATGTATTATAAATTTTAACTTACAAATATAATAAACATAGTCTTGTATACTATCATTACTTTGTTTGAAAGAATACATCTTCATCCACAAAACCAAAGTTGTCATATACTTGTGTAACTGTTCCAGTAAAAACTCTTTGCTTGGTAGATGATGAAGGTACATTTTGTTGTACTTGCTGTGGAACACCAGCGACAGAAGGTTGAAATGCATTTGTATTTAATGCTCTTGGTGGTGGATAGGAAACAGTAGCTACTTGTGGATATAATTGACCAGCTATACCCGATGGCAAATTAGATCCAAGTGTTGCCATTGAAGCCATTGTTATATTGGGCTATTTTATAAGATACATGTTAATGTATATCAATAAAAATTATAATAGACATAGATTAATAAAGATAACCATGAGATATAATAAAAATTTAACATGTTATTAATAATAAGGCATTACATATTCTTATTATATTATTTATACATATATTCTAAAGTAAGTTATTATTCATACTAACCTGTTGTAGTCCTAAACTTTGTTGATAAACTTGCTGAGTTTGTTGTTGATACTGAACCATAGGTTGTCCACCTATACTACCCATTGCTTGACCTAACATTTGCTGTTGAATGTTTTGAATTCCTTGTCCTATGTATAGGTGGAAATAAAATATCCCAAATTTATATATTTAAATATTATTACACCTAATTATTTATGATATATCAATCATATTATAAATGCGTTGCACAATTTATATCGATAAATTAGTTTGTTTATTTGTAGTATATCCTACGAACATCTCACATTTTTGTACATAAGTACATATAATAAATTTCATATACACAAATACATAGTTACATACAATAAATTTTCTTCTTCGAGATACAAATTAAACAATAATTATAAAAATATTTACATTGCACAAATACACTATTTATATTTAAAGAACGATTGCTCCAGGTATGATATTCATATGAATATAAGTAAAATATATTTACAAATAAAAGAAAAAATTCATTTGTTTCAAAAATAACTATTGCAAATTAAAGATGAAACACTAAAAATTTTGTTTCTTTCAAAGCATTCCATGTTTATTACTTAAAAATATGAATTATGAATTAGTTTTCAATAACTTGATATTGCACAAAATATTGGTAAGAAATATTTTATATATTTATTGACTTGTATAAGTTGTAACAGAAATTTGGCAACATTGTTGACTTGCACACGGATCGACAATAAGACATATATTAGTAATAAAATTACTTTACCTGCATTACGAACCCACGGTGGGTTTTTACCACCTCCAAATGGTGAAAGATTACTCATTTCCTAAGGAATATGTGATATTATTAACAACACAAATTTAACGATATTTTGACTACACTTAATTAAGCGTCCTTCATTCGGGCGCCATCTTTTCACCTATAACTACTGAAATCAAATGTTACTCTATGCAGGAAGCGAAATTAAATTTTCAATTTTTCAAATGTTCTTAATGCAATTTTTACGCAATATAGATATTACTTCAAATATGCAACACAATTAATTTTTCTAAATTACTGTCTAGAAATAAATAATTAGAATTTAAATGATGGTAAAAAAATTTTTTAAGTTTTAATTTGATTTTGTTATGTACTGATTGTCAGACGCACAATAGAAGCATAGGAAGCATATTCGTTACATTCAGACTCGATAGAAACAGTTACAGTCTTATTATCGAAAGTTGGTATTTAATATTTTAATGTATTTGAATTTGTGTATTTTTGAGAACAGTAGTTTTAAATCTAAGGTAATAATCGATTGTTTAAATGTGATTTTATTGAATAATATATTAATAGAAAATTCAAGTGATATATTTTTACTCTATTATGGCGATAATGACATGAAAACGTCATGTCCGGCGGTAGATACACAATAAAATAGAACAGAATCATGATTGGTCCACAATCAAAAGATTATCAAGATCCAAGGCAATTCATGACATAACATCCTTTAGTTATGTTAAATGAGTCATAATAGTGTAATTGCATGCTCTCTTTTCCATTACGAAGTGAAACAAGATTCCCGGTAATAAGCTATAATTGAAAAAGTATCAACGAAACAAAAGATAAGAATTTAATAACTAGATTGCATATTTTTATGCATTTATAGGAAACAATGCTACAAAGAAATATTTAACAATTTTCTATCGAAGTTCTACTTTTTTAATTTCCGAAAATATGAATTTGCATAAAAACCCGCAGTCTATTGATGAGAATATACATATAAATATATGTAGTTAACATGGACTATTAATATTTTAAATAAAATTTAGCGCACAGCTCGCAATATTTTTCAATAACGTAAAAATGAATAAATTAATTCTATGTGCAAACATATAAACATTCAATTTAAATCATGGATATTTTTAATAATTTGCAAATTATAAAATATGCTTAATTATTGGAAGATATGTATTATACGCATTATACGCCAATAACAAAAATAACAATAGCATACATTGTTTTTGCCACTCACGTTAAGAAACTTTAAGGCGCAACCACATAAAGATATGTAATTTAAAATCACATGAATTTATAAAGTAAGCAGAAGAATGCGGCGTAACGAATATTTCCAACACGAAATTATAATCACAAAAATGAATTTTATAAATAGAATTATCGTTTTGTGTAAATTTTATATTTTCATGTAGAATTTTATTCTAATTAAGTTTTTCGTTTCTATAAGTTTCAATATGAATATTATGTGTTCTTTTTATTATATAACAAAGCATATTATTGGTTGTTTCACATTTATATATATAATCAACATTTTCTGTAAATTTTATATTTTCATTTATACTTTTACTTTAATTGTTATTATTATTATTATTATTATTATTCTATAAGTTTTAGTAGAATACTATATATTCTTTTATATAGAATAATAACTTTTCCGTTACACGATCAAAAACATAACATGCTATTGGTCATTTCACATGGTCATGGAAGATGTCGTATCTTATTGGTTAACTTTAGGGAGCATGCTCGTCGTTCAATAATTATCGATATTAAACGGAAAACTGCCATTTTATTACATAATAATTTCTTGAAATCGTAACTGATCGTCTTTGGAAAATAATAGAAACTATATTGCTCGGTAGAAACGAAAGATCGAGCCGTTTGAAATTGATTTTTCAGGTAACAAAGTTTGAACATGGCGTTGAGATCGATCTGCCGGCTGTCAATTGATTCGACCTTCAGCCATTTGAGCCATTTGGGAGCCACCGCCCGGCCGAGACGATCGTCTTTCGCATTGCTCGCACGAAGTTTCGCCACTGTTGCAGAAAATATGAGTCTGCCGCGCGTTTTCTTTGACATGACCGCGGATAATAAACCCGTGGGTCGCATCGTAATGGAGGTGAGTGAAAATTGTGCACGATTAATATGGTTTCCACTTCTTAAATGTGTTGTCGTCGGAATCCCGGCATGATTGGCCATCTTGGATTTTCTTGAAAGCCGGTTATGTGAGATGATTTTCGATTGGAATTTCCTTCAGAATCGTTATCACGCATATTTTTATTGTTTAAAATTGCTACTTTGTATCAATAAAATGGAATCTTCATTTGCTTGATGTAGCAAAGTATAATTTGGATAGATATAACGTGTATTGCGTTACTCACTCTTTTGATCTGCAGTGAATCGTAAAATTTTCCATTCACCGATTGCTGCTGACACGTTTGATTACGTATTCCGCACAGGTGAAACTTGAATGCGCAACTATGAAATATGTTTTTAGGAATTATTTTGAGAGTTCCAAGTGTTGTATAAGATTAAAATATTGCGGTTACATCTTTTTTTGTAATTTATTGAGGAGGTGGAAAAAAAAGCAAAAAGAGATGTGAACAAATTACGAATACGTCATAGATATAGTGGAAGTGGCAATACAATTTCATTTGCATTTAAGTCTGAACGTTTTTTATTATATTATACTGTAATGCGTTTCTTACTATGCTATAAATTTAGTTATTGATGCTACACATATATGTTGTTATATAAATAGATTAATTTTTCACTTCAATAAATCAAATCTATACATTATACCTTAACCATTTGAGTCCTAAGCAACGCGATCGCGCTGTTCAGATTTTGTATCAAAAAGTCCCAATACATTTGAACGATACGGAACACTGATGATATTTTGTGTTTCATTGTTATCTTCTCAATAATTTTTATTGAACAAAACTTGAAATATTTATAAACTAATATTACGTATATATAATAATATATATGTATTTCATAAAATAACAAATATGATGAGCGCTATTGCGCCGCTTGTTTCTCTTCGCAATCGATTAAGACAAGCGCTATCGCGCTGTTCGGGATTTTTCGACCCTGTTTTTTCAAAGACCCCTGGGATTCAAACTGTTCAAAGAATGACTTGTAGATTATGGCATCGTTGTATTATATCCTATATTAATTATTATTAACAATTTATTTTTGATGATCATAATTAACTAACTTTTCTTTAAATTTTAGAAATAGTGATTCATTTAAGTGCAAATGTTATTGTGCGTATATAAAGCATAACTACATTTTTATTTTCATTTTTTAAAAGAATTGTATTAAATTTTCAGTTGAGGAGTGATATTGTCCCCAAAACAGCAGAGAATTTTAGAGTTCTTTGTACTGGTGAGAGAGGCTTTGGTTATAAAGGAAGCAGTTTCCATAGAGTGATTCCAAACTTCATGTGCCAAGGAGGTGATTTCACCAACCACAATGGCACTGGTGGAAGGTCCATCTATGGCGCGAGATTTGACGATGAGAACTTTACATTGAAACACACCGAACCTGGTATTCTTTCCATGGCAAATGCAGGTCCAAATACAAATGGTAGTCAGTTCTTCATCACCAGTGCCAAAACAAGCTGGCTTGATGGCAAACATGTTGTATTTGGAAAAGTTATCGAAGGAATGGATGTTGTTAGAAAAGTATGTAATATAATCATATTTTTCGTCTTTTATTTTATTTTATTCTATTTTATGAATAGATATTATAGCAGAGAAAGAATATTTGTTTTTTCTTATTTGTTTTAATATTTCCTTTAATAAACATTTATTTTACTTTTCTATATTATAACTTGATAAAGAGTAATTAATACTTTCATTGCTTCTATCTTGAAGTTTTTAATTTAAAAAGAGGTTGATACTTTAACATAGCGCGTATTACTTATTGTTTTTATAAGGAAGAATATAATATGTGTATCTTTTTTTCAGTTGGAAAGTATGGGATCTCAAAGTGGAAAGACTTCCAAAAAAATCGTAGTAGCTGACAGTGGAGAACTGTAATTGTTCGACTAGATACTCTAATGACTGCATTTTTATTTAGCTGTTGCATACAACTGTTGCTATCTTTATTGTATGACTCATTCATTCTAATCATCACCATTTTCCCTTAATATTATGGACTTAGTTTCCATATTTAAAAAAGTGTATATTTACCTTAATTTGGTATTAACAAATCAAGTGCATTGTATTATTTTTTTTATTACAATTAATTGAAATTGGAATATACAATGAAATAGAATCTAATGAGATAATTTCTTGTTCTGTCTTTTTTTTAATTATAAAAAACTTCAATTTCTTGTTTATTATTACCTGCAATAAGCAACATACTTCTCCTATATTAAAATGGAATGTAAAACAAATGAAAAAGATTTAGATCCACATTCTTCCATGGAATATTGATCCTTTAATGGTATTAAATGGTATATCACAGTAAAACGTACATATATGAACTGTACGTCTTATAAAACTTTCCTGTGTGTACTATTCATATTTTAGTATCTAATAAGAATAAAATTCGTAAGCATTTACTTACATTTCTAAGGTCCATAAATAATTAGTGAGTGTTACATGATTACTGTATAATGCATTTATCTGTGACGTTACGATATTTTAACTTTTCTATTGTGCTTTTATACTTAGAACCACCAAAATAATGCTCATTATCTAGGGCATTATTCGTTTTGATATGTATACACCATCCCATTTCTAAGCACAGATTGGTAATAGAGGTTTGATTAGTGTAAACCATAAGATAATGCCTTTAGATAATTCCATCTTCTTCTAATGTAACACTAACGTTGAAAGATGTAGTTGCAGCGGTCACAGTAATTGGGATTTCTATAAAATAAAATTGTTTTCAGAAGTAATTGTTGTACGTTTACTATCACAAAGTATGAATTCCTATATTTCGGCGGAATCGTTTCACTAAATTTTATAATTTGTTTCTACAATGTAAAATTTCTTTTGATTTTAGTGAATTTATATTCTAATGTAAACAGAAAACATTTGGAAATAATATTATAATTTGCAATTATTTCTATTTTCACTATTAACATTCTTATTGAATTATCGAACAATTAATGAACTCAAAACAAAAGTTGGTAGAATTTCTATTTATTTTTGAATTTTTTAGATATTTTTACTTTTCATGATATCCAGCTTTTTTATTCGTTCAATTACAATGAAATTATTTCGATAATAAGAAAGCGATAAAGTAAAAAGTTGGATGGAAAATAAACCTTAAACATTATGTTAAAGTGATAAAAATAAATTTTCAAGGTGGTTTTTATAATAACCTATGATCACATAGATCATTTTAATTAACAAATAAGTATATTTCATAATTTTTAGTTTTTCTTAGAAGTTAAGTTGTGGATTAAAAATGTATGATGTATTGTAACTTGGCTTATATTTTTTTATATCTATAACTAACGTAGGCATTTAAAAATAGAAAGGTACGTAAATAAATCCTGTAGTATGGATCTTTCCATGTCTAGTAATAAAACAAGGAGGAAAAAGAATAAAAAGATGTATAAAAGAAATTTCATATGAAGCATAACTATAATGTCTTAATAATACCGTATGACATATAATTACTAAACATTGCTAAAATTATTTTGTTATAACTAAATTTTAATTTCTTTGTCTTATGTCACTATGATATAGAAAAATTATGTTTCTATTTTCATGAAAATTGGAAAACTAATATTATTTAAAATTATTGCAAGCTTATTTATAATTAGGATACGTTTTTAATTTTGTCTTTGAGAATGAAGTGTTACATTACTTTTGCAAATTGATTTACATAGTATTACTGATCTGTTGACTATAAATAATTATAATTGTTTGTTTAGTTAATATTAGCATCGAAAGAACTAAAAATTTATTGTTAATTAGTATATTGTAAGAAAATTTGTTTAGAGGATGAAGTATTTTGTCTGTGAACGATAGAAACTAATTGTAAGAATTTTACTTTTTTTTATACAATAAAATTTGCATCTCTATTATTTGCGGTATTCATTAAATGCAATTGCATATTAGAATCTTAGAAGGAAAATTATATTTCTAACGTACACTTCTGTACGGAATCTTGTTGAAATAATGATAAAATTATTTATATTATGTGTCGTAATAGATTAGATTACTTAAATTATGAATGTTATAAAATTATATAAATGAGTGATAAGCGTAGATAAGCGTGATTTAAAATCATAAATAGGAAACATGTTTGCACTGTATTATTTATTTTATTATAGATATATAACATTTCTGACTTGCTCCTACTCATTATTTATTTACAGCTTATCTATATCAATGTGTCGCAAACACATTATGATGTCAATTCCAATTCCTCGTACTTTTGGTCGTAATATCTATGTGGTAGATAAGTTTTTACGTGATGAAACTTAATCAGAAAATCATCACAGTTATAAAATAATTTCCTTTTAATAAAATGTATGTTTATATTTATAAAGGTATTGTTTGAACAGTAATACATACGATAAGGAAGAAGAATACTTTATCTCGTTTAAGATCAAAGTTATTTAGTCGTAAGATATTTTGTAAATTTAAAAATCGAAAATAAATTAGGGATATAAAGATACAATTTTTAGATTTTTTTCAGTGCTTTATTATTTAAAACAGTTAAACGATTTGTTATATCCATTCTGCCAAATCCCTTTTTCGACATTTTTTGACATTCCAGGCGAATTTAAATTTAAAGCGAAAATGATTGTTATTTTATTATATCATATATCGAAAATACGACATACAAGAGAAAAAGGTATGATTTATTTCATTAATTTAACAAATTCGTGTTGTCCTGGGATACAAGCATATTTGCACTGTTTCTATTCATGTTTCTGTTTATATTCATATTAAAATGGTACATATTTGTAATTTTCTGGTAAACTAAATCGGTACCCACATGAAAGTAGAAATAGTCATTGAGATCGTGGCACTTTAAATTTCAAATTTAATTCTTCAACACGTTAAGTGTAAGGTGTTCGTCGGTGACCTACGTCTTTCAACTAAATTTTTTAGAATGATAAAAATAGGATAAATGTCATGGTTTAAAAAATGGTCGGCAATGTGAATGATTTAGGTAACAGTGTCAGAGAAAAGGTACGCAAATACATTAGAATATTTTGCAAGAATAAAATGTCTTGGTATGGTACGCTTTAATCTATCTATCCAGGACAAAATACGTATAAAAATCGCGTGGCAATCAACATAATAAAAAAAAGAGAAACAGATGCTCCTGATTCTTTTTTACTACATTTTCATAAAATCTTCTAAATGTTCAATCCTCATAGAATGAAAGGGAGAGCATACGTTTGAATCTCCGCAGATTTTATTAATTCTGTGAAAGGTGAAACCATAAATACAATATGAGTATTATATCAACGTTATTTCATACAGGTAACAACATATTATTATGTACGTAACAGTTATATTTAATGAAACATTTACATATCCAGTAAATCCATGTTCTCTGCTAAAGGTTCGTTTATTAATAAAACTGCCATAATCGTTCACGCATTGTTCGCTTCCTTAATTATTTTTCAAAGTATAACGATGATCAATGATGCGACAGAAATGTCACGTACATCCCAACAATCTTACATGAGATTTCAGCTATGTTTTTACTATACAAATTAAGTCATTATTAAAAGTATATATATATATATACATATATATATATACATGTCAATTTTTATACACATAATTATACGTATTTATATATGTATGTGTATATATATATATATATTTATATAATATATTACAATGATTTAATAAACCTTCATTTTCATTTAATATTTTCATTTAATAATTTAATAAACCTTCGACCCGCAAAGGCAAATAAATACACGCATAACATTTTTCTTCAGCGGCATTCTTCTAGAATTGTATTTGTTGAAAGAGGGATAGCGTTAAGCGTTGGAATAAAGAATGACGAATCGTTATTCTTTAACCATCGTACCTAGATACATATTTATTGAGTTACTTGTATTTTAATCGAAGTCTAATATCCTCCATCTGTAGGTGTAAATATTACTGCCGTTGTTAATGTTATTTAAGTTTTACTACTGGAAAGGAGATTTAAGTTTGAAGGCAGGCAAGTCTACTGTTCTTAAAGCTGACATTTAGACGTCTAAGATTTTTTGTGTCTTTATTGACAAAAATACATTTGACTTTGCATATCTAAAGTAAAGGATTTGTGTTGTTTAAAATAAATAGATCATCTTTCTCTAGAAAATTCAATGTGGTGAAATTAGAGTATGAGATAAAAGAAATACTATGCATATGATTTGATTGAAATTTTGAAAGTGTATAGACCCTGTTTTAGAAATATGAGTATTAATTCGGCAGACTATAAATTTATATTACAAAATTAACTGTTTTCTACTTTTGTTGTACTTTTCTTCTACTTTCTTGGCATTTTACTGAAAATGCTGGAGATTTTAAATCAGTAATTAATAAAGTGAATTCATAAAATAACTTTTAAACGCATTGCTATCTAAAGTACAAATTCTTACGTTTTTGTAATATATTTTTATAGTTATTGTATGTAACGTATTTGAATCTTTACGTGTAGGGTTAAACTATTTTGTCCGCATTTTATTCAGTCATTTAAAACATCAAAGCAAACTTATTTCAAGTGAAAAATAATCCTTATTCCTCTAAGCAGTATTCATTATAAGAACTAATTTTACATATATAATCGTAACAAAAAAGAAACATTAAACAGGCATCTATAGTTATTGACATTTATCTTTTGTATGTTCATTTACGAGGAAATGGTACTTAATGTAAAAGCGACTGGATTTCATATTTTTAACTACTGTGTACATGTATTAAATCTTATTGTCCTTCTTAAAAATTAAATAAATACTCATAATCCTAAAACATTCTTTCTATGTTGTACTAGATATATATACAATTAAAATGTGTAATAATGCGAATGACAAGCTAGTTCAAGTAATTATTTTGCTTAAACGTAAGTTAATTGAAATCAAATGAATGTTATACACGCACCGTGTATTATGAACTATTGATTGATTGACGCTCATATTTAATTATTAATGAGAGAATTAGAAAAATCAAATTGAACGTAATCTGTCCTTCTTATATTTATTAAAATAAGTTCTGGGGTTTGAAACACTCGAGATTAGAAATTTTGATTAATGTTTCACACTATGACTGGACGCTTGTTGTAATATCTTTTGTACGGGATACACTATACATACACAAGATCAAAATGGAATTTCGAAACGATCGTATCGTTCAACAACAATCTCTTTTACCTTTGATTCTCTTCATAAAAACGCAATTCTCCTTTACGGAACATCATATAACATTTATTGTACGATATATTGTTCAATTATATTTCGAAATTTTCAGCTTCGAATCTTTGTTTAATTATACTGTGGAATTAAATATCATACGTTATTTAAATATAGAGATTGACTAAACTTTTGCCCACATTTATTTGCTGAAAGCTGTATCCACCGAGATGTTTAAATCTGCGAAATTTCATGGACTTTTATATTTAATTTTTCACCATGAATCCCGCTTTGCGATACAATACATATTAGGTTTACAATCTCTTAAGTTTGCAGTACCAATGCTGATTTTATCTGAAACTATCTGTTTGCAAATGATGGTGATATCTTTCTTCGTTGGAATTACCCTTCACTTACAAATTAACAATTATTAGCATTGAACAGTATTGTTAAACTTCAATAAAAATAGAATCGATAACTAAACGTTAGTTAAAGAAACTTCCTATTGCAGATATAACAAATCATATTGAATTTTGTTTAGAAAGCAATAATAAAAATGAGTATCTTTTTGTGAAAATAATTTATAATATTTCACTCAACTTATTCGTATAAGAGATATTAGTTTGTTTAAATACCCTGTTGCATCCTTTTATTCATTTTCAACCCAATTTTTTCACAACATTAAAAAATATTTTAAGCCTGAAGAAAAATATGAAAAACTTTTTATTGGCATGACTTCTCTATTTCATGCTAAACATCCTCTTGAGATATTATAAATCTTTCTTGTTTACTAAAACCAGAGCCTAACTGAAATATACGAGGATCGCAACAGGATTAATCGTAATACATGATTAAATACAAGCAATATGTAAGCTATATTTTTACTTTTTACTTCAGAAATAAATATTTCACGAGCATCGTCTTTAGCTTAAGGAAAATAAACTCGTGAAATTTAATTTAAAAACGTCGTTAAACATGGAAATGTTGCAGGATAACAAATTAGAAGAGATATATTAAATAAATCACAGCTCAGGTATCTATAACATGTGATTCTCTTAACAAATCTGTTTCATTCATCAAGCGACTGCAAAATTTCCGTAAAATCAGAAGCGGTTTCACGAATAATACGCATTCGTAAACATGATAGATAAGAGTTAGTATCGCGGCGTTTTAGAGTATCTATGAGTGTAATATGGAAAGTAAAAAGATGTACAATAAAAATAGTTCGCTTTCCAAGCTATCACTAACATTGTAACGAATTATTATACATACAGCGGCTCACGAAAGTACTCGGACGCTTACAGAAACTTTCCATGAATATTTTGTTGAAGCTTTTCATGAATCTGAAAATGCATTAGGCTGTGCCAAAAGTTTCTTTCGTTTTGTTCTATTACTACAAAATGGATCATACATATTCCGATAAAATAATATAAAACAAAAAGGGTCGTGCATCTATTATTTCCTTATAAAACGAAAGAAACTTTTGGAACACCCTAATACAAACGTAAATAGAAATTATAAGATGCTTATTGATTACCATCGGTATTTGCACAGTTAATTATGTATTGTATAAATAAGTCACAATATTTTTAGTAGGACCATTTTTACCCCTAATCAATCATATGTTTAAAATTACTCTTCACACTGTATATTATTTTTTTGCTATGTGTACGTTTGCAATAAGCATCTTCTAACTTCCATATATACATTTCCAAATTGGTTTCAATTTTTACCGGTGTAATCATGATAGACACGTCTCATTACAGTGAAGTGAGAAAAAGACTAACGTACATAATATATATTCGTAAAAATCTTCTATCATATAACGAGTGTTCGAATATTTTCGTCAACTACTGCATACATATTTCATGGATATTTGTGTGAGATTAAAATCGACAGAAATGATAAAAGAATATCGTCGTAGGGGTATAGCAATAAGAAAGTACAAGGAAAGTATAGCTCGTTAATTTGAGTTAAACGAGATTGTCAGTCATCTATTAGGTCGTGTTAATCTCTGAATAAATCCTTAAATGAAGAAGCGTTAATTAAACGAGAGAGACTCGCATTTGTGTTTCCATACTACTTGACGAATAGGTCCTTCAGGGAAGAACAGATAGACGGTTCGCAGGATTCCGTTTGCTCTTGGTCCTTGGTACTTGAAAACCAACTTGCCACTTTGCCTGACCTTGGTTTGTTCGGAGATACCGAGGGCTTTCCGCTCGATCCGGATGCCTCCGTATCGTTTCCCCTTTGTGCCGTTAAAATCTTCTCAATTGCGCTACCCAATACCTACGAACAAAATTGTTCTTACAAATTTATGAATATTATGTGTTTACGTATTTGAATGAAAATTTTTATGAAACGAGATTTCGTATTAAAAGATGGCCAAGAAAATGGTAGCTTAATCCGTGGAAAATGAAGCAGTAAAGTAACGCACAGTACTTGAACGATATTAAAATACGTAATAGTACGTTAATACGATAATTTACATATTCTTTTGCTAAGATGAAAATGTATATGTAAATTTACTTGACAGAAGTATATCACAATGGTCATAATGTTATAAATATTTAAATTTTTTACAAGCATCATAAAATTGTAGAATCTTGACGCAGGAAGAAATAGTTAACAAAGAAAAAAAAATATATTGGACAAATTCTAGTACCTCTCTTTTATCGCGTAAAAAAGAGAAACTAAAAGTTTCACTCCAGAGAATGGACTTCGTTCGAAGTCGAAAAGATAGTTTACAATCATTACGTGCAATATCGCAGATCCACCATCAGAAATCAGTAATATTAGAATAAAATTCATATTGGATTAAAAGAGGGGTCAAGTTGGGGTTAGGTCAAAAAGTAGCCGGCGAGGCAGCCAGCTACGCTCGTTAAAGCCCAGAACTGAAGACGACGCGTCGCGAGTTCGAATCCTCGGCATATTTATCGTGTCTTTAAAAACGAACGGAAAAACCAAGATTTCTCTTACAATATGCAAGCGGCCAAGCCACACCCCTTGCATGTGCTGTGGATGTACTTTCTGGAAGTACTTGGTTAAACGTGCTTGGTGTTGAGCACACAGGGACCCACCCCGACGATCAACTCGCGCACACACTACTGGCGTCCCGCCCGTGGAGGTTTTAGCCGGTAAGAATCCGGCACTACCTTCTGCCCACCTACGTTAGGGAGGGTGGTAAGGTGTCTATGAAGATTTCCTCCACGTAAAAAAAAAAAAAAAAA